CATTACATCGATCAGGAGTGGAAGCTGCATTCACATGCGCTGACTGTAATGAGAACTGATGAGAGGCATATGGCTGATGCGTGCGCCAGTCATTTTATGAATGTGGCGGGTCAGTGGAACATTGAAGAGAAAGTGAGCACGCTGAACACAGACAATGCTAGAAATATGATTGCAGCTTCGAAACAGCTACCATTCGAACATCTGCCGTGCACTGCTCATAGCATTCAACGATCAGTCACAGTGTCTCTACAAAATAGTGCATTTGACGGTGTACTTGCTAAATGTCGCAAAGTGGTTGGCCACTTCAAACATAGCCCACCTAATACTGCTGAACTCAAGACAAAGCAAGTTGCGCATGGACTTAAGGCTGAGACACTCGTTCAGGACGTTCCTACAAGGTGGAATTCCACTCTGGAGATGATTAAACGAGTGCAAAGAAACCAGGAAGCCCTGAGAGATGTTCTTGTCCAGAAACAAACCAACGTTACCATGCCAACGAAGTCTGAGATGGAGAAACTTCAGAAGCTGGAAATATTGCTCGAACCATGCAGGTACTATTCTCTGATCAAATTCCATTTTAGGCCTACATATGCAATAATTCCCCTATTTACATAAACCTCAATTACATTTTTAATTGTTTACATTTTGCAGATACTTTAAAGAACTTCTTGGAGGTGAGAAGTTTGTATCCTGTTCAGTCGTGTTGCCTGCATTATGCCATCTGTCCCGGGTGATGGAGACTTCTGAAGATGATCCAGCATACATTGTAAAGTTCAAGCAAACCTTCAGTGCGGACATGACAAGCCGCAAAGACAAAACCAACCTTACATGGCTGAAGATTTCAACTGCCCTTGACCCGAGGTTTAAGGACCTCAAATGTCTACACAGATCTGAAAGAGCAGAGGTGTGGGCATTGATTGCTGGTCTTCTGAAGGAGGATATACAGTGCCTTGCGAAAGTATTCGGCCCCCTTGAACCTTTCAACATTTCGCCACATTTCAGGCTTCAAACAGAAAGATATAAAATTTATTTTTTTTGTCATGAATCAACAACAAGTGGGACACAATCGTGAAGTGGAACGAAATTTATTGGATAATTTCAACTTTTTTAACCAATAAAAAACTGAAAAGTGGGGCGTGCAATATTATTCGGCCCCTTTACTTTCAATGCAGCAAACTCACTCCAGAAGTTCAGTGAGGATCTTTGAATGATCCAATGTTGTCCTAAAGGACTGATGATGATAAATAGAATGCACCTGTGTGTAATCAAGTCTCCGTATAAATGCACCTGCTCTTTGATAGTCTCAGGGTTCTGTTTAAAGCGCAGAGAGAACCATGAAGACAAAGGAACACAGCAGGCAGGTCCCAGATACTGTTGTGGAGAAGTTTAAAGCCAGATTTGGATACAAAAAGATTTCCCAAGCTTTAAACATCTCAAGGAGCACTGTGCAAGCAATTATATTGAAATGGAAGGAGTCTCAGACCACTGCAAATCTACCAAGACCCGGCCGTCCCTCCAAACTTTCATCTCAAACAAGGAGAAGACTGAACAGAGGGTTAGGGTTAACCAAGAGGCCCATGATCACTCTGGATGAACTGCAGATAACTACAGTTGAGGTGGGAGAGTCTGTCCATAGGACAACAATCAGTCGTGCACTGCACAAATCTGGCCTTTATGGAAGAGTGGCCATTTCTCAAAGATATCCATAAAAAATCTTGTTTAAAGCTTGCCACAAGCCACCTGGGAGACACACCAAACATGTGGAAGAAGGTGCTCTGGTCAGATGAAACCAAAATCGAACTTTTTGGCCACAATGCAAAACGATATGTTTGGCGTAAAAGCAACACAGCTCATCACCCTGAACACACCATCCCCACTGTCAAACATGGTGGTGGCAGCATCATGCTTTGGGCCTGCTTTTCTTCAGCAGGGACAGGGAAGATGGCTAAACTTGATGGGAAGATGGATGGAGCCAAATACAGGACCATTCTAGAAGAAAACCTGTTTGAGTCTGCAAAAGACCTGAGACTGGGACAGAGATTTATCTTCCAACAGGACAATGATCCAAAACATAAAGCCAAATCTACAATGGAATGGTTCACAAATAGACGTATCCAGGTGTTAGAATGGCCAAGTCAAAGTCCAGACCTGGATCCAATCGAGAATCTGTGGAAAGAGCTGAAGACTGCTGTTCACAAACGCTCTCCATCCAACCTCATTGAGCTCGAGCTGTTTTGCAAGGAAGATTGGGCAAGAATTCCAGTCTCTCGATGTGCAAAACTGATAGAGACATACCCCAAGCGACTTGCAGCTGTATTTGCAGCAAAAGGTGGCGCTACAAAGTATTAGCGCAAGGGGGCCGAATAATATTGCACGCCCCACTTTTCAGTTTTTTATTTGTTAAAAAAGTTTAAATTATCCAATAAATTTCGTTCCACTTCACGATTGTGTCCCACTTGTTGTTGATTCTTGAAAAAATTTAATATTTATATCTTTATGTTTGAAGCCTGAAATGTGGCGAAATGTTGAAAGGTTCAAGGGGGCCGAATATTTTCGCAAGGCACTGTACATGGACAGCAACAAGTGGAAGAAACCTCATCTGAGCCACCAAACAAGAAGGCAGCTCTCTTATTTGCTTCTGACTCTGAGTCAGACGAGGAGCAGGATGACATTGAAAACTGGCTAACACGCTATAGGGCTGAGCCAGTCCTCTGCAAGGATGAGTGTCCCTTAGAATGGTGGTGCAAACATGCTTGTATCTACAACAAGTTAGCATGTCTCGCCAAGAAATACTTGGCAACACCTGCCACATCTGTACCTTGTGAGAGATTGTTTTCCCTCTCAGGTCATGTTGTTCAGAAAAAGCGAGCTGCCTTGTCATCTAGAAATGTGAACAAACTTGTGTGTCTTAGCAGCTGGCTTAGGTCTACTAAATAGAATGTTTGAGATACCAATATCTATCTGTATCATTCAAAATAAGGTGAGACTTAGTCTCTCCGAGTTCACCGAGTTCTCACTGTGAATTTCAAAGGTCTATGTCTGTTTTGACCACAGAATGTCAACATTCATATCAGAATTTTTGTTTTGTTTTTTAGTTCCACTTGAAAGGTCTACTTTCTGTTCTGCTCACATACTGTCAACATCCATATCAGTAATTATTTTGTTTTTTGTTCCACTCTACATTCTATAATTGTGACTTCTTGATTACAGTAAGTGACAGCCAGTCAATTTAACCCCATTGAGATCCATTGGTCCAGTTTTTACCTATTAATACAAGTATATTTGGATTTGAATGACAATGTGTCATACATTTGATCATCTTTAACTTCAATTGGAGTGGATTTGAAATAGAATGTAAAAAATGCGATTAATCGTGAGTTAACTCACCATTTCTGTGCGATTAATCAACTAAAAAAATGTAATTGTTTAACAGCCCTATTAAAAATATAGTGCGAGTTTTGTATATATTGCTCTAAATACAAATCCATATTAATTTTGGACACCCCTAAACACACGGATACAAAAGGCCAAAAGTTTGATCACTCCAAAATACAGTACCTAATCCTTTTTTAGTAAACTTCCTTTCACACAGACAGCTGTTTATCCAGAGCGGGCGTGTCCTGCTCTGATAGCATCCTCCTCCGACAGCTCAGTATTTACAGTTACAGAGCTCCACTTGGGCCTGTCTCCTCTCTGTGCCGGTGACTGACGTTTGTATAGCCACGGACCGGGGAGCTGTCCGTCTACCTCTGGTGCTGAAACGCTCTGAATCCCGATGAGGAACCGGCTTCGTCCAACGCTGAAGGGAAATCAATCAGGCCCTCAATCGTCCTGTTACAGAGCATTATCCCAGAGCGAGACTACAGAGGAATATCTACGAGCACAATGGCCACGCAGCGCCAGAAACCGGGACAGGACTTTAAAAGGGCTCGGTCTTATTACTGGGTTTATTTTATGTTGCCATGGCGCCCATTCATAGAGGAATAAATGAATGGAAAAAAAAAATAGTGATCAATTCAATGTATTTTTGTGTAGCCCTGAATCACAACAGCAGTCGTCTTGAAGGACTTTACAAAGTTGTCGATTTGCCAACAACAGATCAGAGAATGATGTTTATTGTACACTGCGCCTGTTACTACAAATAAACTAAACTAAACTAATTTTCTTGGACGACTATTGTGATTGAGGTTTACACACAAATAAATTGCGTTTAATTGAATTGTATTAGAGCTAGGCAAAACAAAATCCTTTGTGGTTTTATTTATGTAACTGTGAGTGATGGTATGAAACTGAGAGCAATGGCATTTGTGTGTTTGGGAAATCCTCCGAGGTTTAGCGCTCTCGGTGATCAAAGCTAATGCCGTCAGAACAAATGCCCTCATAAGGAATTTGGCTCCAGCTAGCCTATGTTCAAATCAGTGGGGGCGGGTCCCGGCTCAAAAGTGGCCAAAATGACGTGCGCTGACATGCTGCAATACCACCCCGGGCCGATGGGGGTGGACCCGGAATAAGAATTAGCCAATGCTAACATGTAGCATTGGCAGACCTCTCGAAAACGTCTTTACAGGATGGTCCAAAAGTTGGCTCTTGGCCCAAAGCTCCGTTCCACATGTGTGTCAATGCTGAGGGGGTGAATTTGGACCACTCTAGTTTACTCTCTGTGAATTTTTGAAGTCACTCGTTTAAATGAATGGAGCTCGTGCCGGCTGACGCATGCGCAGATGCAATTTTTCACATTTTCCAGCCCCTGCGGCTTTTTGAATTACTCCATGAAAGCCCAATTTTTGGCCCATTAGTTAGAACGGCGGAGATAGGTGTCGCTACGTCCGTTATTATATACAGTCTATGGTTCCATTTTTTCCACATTAAGACTAAAACTATGGCGGTCGGTCCGTCCACTCCTAATTGACGGCCTTTGTTTCTGATTGAGTTTTACAGTTCTGTCTCTTACGACCCATGCCGACCGTCTTAACCGTCTGCCCCCGTGTCTTTTGCCCCAGATCCCTCAGGTCAGCTACGCCTCCACGGCCCCTGAGCTCAGCGACAACACGCGCTACGACTTCTTCTCCAGAGTGGTGCCTCCGGATTCGTACCAGGCTCAGGCCATGATGGACATCGTCACGGCTCTGGGCTGGAACTTTGTGTCCACGCTGGCCTCTGAGGGCAACTACGGGGAGAGCGGCGTGGAGGCCTTCGTGCAGACCTCCAGAGAAACAGGTAAGGGGAAAATGTCCTGAAAACTCACTGGATTGTTTGTGTTTTGTTGAAGTTTTGTTGACAAAGTTGGCATTTCAAGTTAAAGTGGTGCAACATGTTCTAACTCTGGTTAAAAACAAAAAAGTAGATGGATATCACAGAACCAACGAGCAAAAGTAAATAAAAGTTTGTGGTAAATTCTCTTTAGACGCTGATGAGCTTTCTTAAAGGACAACTAAACACCAAATCAACTTTTTTTTAAACTCATAAACTGCTAAATATGTTTCTTATTTTGACATTTGAGTGCAATTTAGATAACATTTTGAGCCTAAAACCGTCTGTGTGGCGCCCTCTCTACCTTTTTGGTGTTACTACATCTGAATTTTGGTCCTGGCCTTTCCATTAGCTCTGGAGTGATGTGTGACGTCCGTTTGTGTGTGTGACGTGCGAGTCTTTGCGACCGTGTTATAAACCCATCCAACTCTCACACTCCCCAGTAGCGAGTCGGAGTATTCTGGCGACTAGTGGATTAATACTAAATTACATCCGTTGACTACTGCTGAGATAATTCTGTGGCTTAGGTTCAGGTGTGTAGCTCTGCAATTATCTTAGTGTGTAAAAAGGGGTGGAATGAGACTTTCTGGTTTGTAAACAATAGCTTTAAGCAGCAATGACAACTGTCTGGTTTTTTTGTGTGACAAGCGAGCTGTCAATCTCAGACCAGACCTCAAGCCCCCCTTCTTGTCCCCTGGTCCTCGGGCAAGGCCCTGTTTAGAGAACATTTTCAAATTTTCATGTGGGCGGAGTCAGGCTGGGCACAGGTGTTTAGTCGCACTTTAAAGGTACACTGCATAGTTTTTACTCCCATCTAGCATTGAGATCATATACTGTAATCTACGGTGCTACGGTAGCTTCGCAGGACAATATGTCTTCTTTGATAGTGGTCCCCAACTCCTGCTCAAACTCCTTTTTGTCCCTTATCAACCACTGTATTTCAACATGACGCATTGACACAGAGAGTGCTCCAGCCCCATGGACATTTATAAGTTCAATTCTAGGCCTATGACAACAATTCAAAAACATGGTGGCGGTAAATATTCTTAAAAATGTCACATTTGTCTTTGGTTAACATGTTTTTTTTATTTGGAGCAACTGTAAAAAATACACAGAGCACCTTTAATGACCTGATTAGGGTTTTTGTCCCATTTCATGTCACTCTTTTCCCCCGTCTCTCCTTCAGCCGCTGCTTGACTTTTACGTATCCCTCCTCCTGCCTGTCCGTGGGCCGTCATACTCCTGTATCTCTATATCTATAATCCATGCTCAGAGCTCACTTGCTGAAGGAGCTGTTAAATGCCTCTCCGCGGGCTCCTCTCGGCGGGAGGCGATGACGACCCCCATGTAACCAACGCTGAAGTAATTACGCCAAAGGTTATGAGAGGGTTATCAGGCCAGAGACTGTGGGAGTGGGAGAAAGTGTGTAGACTTAAAGACTGTAGCAATAATAATGTAATGTGTTTTGGGCTGTCAAGATTATAAACGGGATTATTTATGTCCCAGTATACAGTACATTTTTAACACTAGAACTCCCAGTGCAGTCAATTTGGCGGCTTTTAGATTTAGAAGTATACATTCTTGGTCTTCATAACTTTGTAACTTTTTCCATATATTTTTTCTGTCATTGTTTTTATGAATTTTTCTTTTACTTTTAAAATATGAGGAGTTCTACCTTTAACTTTTTTCCACCAGAGAATATCAAGTGCTAGTTACCATAACAACACACTGTTTACTGTCAGAAGTTAGCATTAGCCCATTTATTTTGCTGTATTCCAATTAAAATGACTGGTTTTAGGACTTATTAAAAGCGGCCCAGCTCTCTGTGTGGCGAGAGACAAATGCCCTCAATTATAAAGCGCTTTGTGACTCTGGTTTGTGAAAGGTGCTATATAAATAAATATGACTTACTTACGTACCTAATATAAATGACTTCCTTTTAATGAATCTGTTGAAAACTAAAACAATCTTTGGGTAAATGTCTCAGAATTTCCATTGTTTTGAATGGGAGCAGTCAAAATGATGGCTCTGGGAGTTCTAGGAGACTGATAACCACCAACCATTCACGCACACACCAGACACATTCATAGGCAATGTGGGTGAAGCGTCTTGCCCAAGGACATAACAACAGTTTGGCACTTTACAGCCGCAGCCGCCCCACTATAGCACCTGGTGTTCCCAGAGGTCTCCCATCAGAGTACTTACCACACCCTGCCCTGCTTAGCTTCAGAGGTCTGACGCGATCATTCTTTCACATGCTGGTATGGTCGTAGTTTGGAAGCCGTAACACCAGGAGCAAACGTACGCAGACAGGGGGAGAACATGCAAACTCCACACAGAAGCCCAAGCTCTTTTACTGGGAGCTGATTGGCTGAGTGAGGATGGTCCTTTTTTTCACTTTCCTCTTTGAAAACACAGATCTAAATCCTATTTTAAAGATGTGACAGAGGCCAAACATTTACGTGAAAACTAGTCTTAGAAGAAGGACAATTTTGAGGCCGATAAAACAAATACATTACAGGTATTTTGGGTGTATTTCTTGTAAAGTTGTGCAATTTTTGAAAGGTTTTTCCCAGTGCTATTTATATACTGAATCATACAGTTATTGTCACATTCTCTCCTTACAACTTGACATCATTTTTGCCGTTATTACCCAGCCCAAACTGCAAACACACTCCTTTGCGTCATCATGTCCTGTGTTTATAGACAACAGCCACAACACACGCTCATAAAAAATTTGTTTCAGCATGTGCCATGACCGTATAACACAGCGCTAGCAGCTTAAAGTGGCTTCTAAACTTCTTTTATGTTAATATTAATATTTCATCACGAGACATATGCATCTTTCATAGCACATCCTTTCCCAATATGAGTCTGTAATACCATGTACGCCTCAAACAAAACACCCGCCTGTGAATGTATGGTTTGTTCCGAGCCATTTCCCGCGGCCGTTTAACATGAAAAATATGCTACGTTCAAAACAAAGAAGTATTAGAGAATAAAGCAGGCAGTGGCTGAGTGGACGGTGGCTGAGTGGATAGCACTCTCGCCTCTCAGCAAGAAGGTCCTGGGTTCGAATCCCGGCCGGACCAGGGCCTTTCTGAGTGGAGTTTGCATGTTCTCCCCGTGTCTGCGTAGGTTTCCTCCGGGTACTCCGGTTTCCCCTACCACTAAAAATATGTACAATAGGTCTGGCATGCGCCTCCTGTTCGGCGACCCCACTCCCATCTCTGTGTGGAGTGAGAGGACAAGTGCCCAAAAAATAACAATTGTAAACCGCTTTGTGACTCTGGTCTGTGAAAGGCGGTATATAAATAAAGCTTACTTACTTACTTACTAGTGTTTTAATGGGAGGTCGTGTCTGGATGAGCGCAGTAAGAGTACTTTGTGAGGTTGTAGAAAGGCTATTAGAGAGTCCTCGGTCCTGCCCTGGTCTCTCTGGAGAACCAATAAGGATCGATCAAACCTGTCCCGTCTCTAATGAGTCCGTCTTTGCGGTTGTAGACTGTACATACACGTGGATGAAGCTAACCCGGTAGCTCAATGACGCCCAATTCTGGTGTTTCATAGCAATAAAGTTCCTGGGTTTGATTCCACCTGCAGGCTTTTTCTGTGTGGAGTTTGCATGTTCGATTTGTGTCTGTGCAGGTTTCCTCCAGGTGCTCCGGTTTCCCCTACCACTAAAAAACATGTACAATAGGCCTGACTGTAATGAGTGAGTGAATGGATGGTGTTGATTGGGGGCTTTGATGCAGAAGTGTGTGGAGAGAATGAAATCGAGTTTGCATTTTTGCCCCGCGCGTAGGTTTCCTCCAGGTGCTCCGGTTTCCCCTACCACTAAAAAACATGCGCAATAGGTCTCACTGTAATGTATGAGTGAATGGATGGTGTTTGGTCAGAGGATTTGATGTGCACCAGTGTGTGGAGAGAATGAAAATAGAATTTGCATGTTTGACCTGTGTCTGCGTAGGTTTCCTCCAGGTGCTCCGGTTTCTCCTACCACTAAAAAACATGTGCAATAGGGTTGAATGTAATGAGTGAGTGAATAGATGGTGTTGATCGGGGGCTTTGATGCAGAAGTGTGTGGAGAGAATGGAAAACTAGCTAAACGCTTTGGGGTGACCAAATACGGACGCGCTTATGGACAAAGTATTAGTCCGACTCACACTCATTTATGTTAGTTAAAGCATTTGACATGACTAAAATACTAAATTTGTGCATTTTTTAACTTGGGTAAAATCTTATTTGAACTGGGATTGCATTAAACATTTATTGGAAGAATGTGACATCATATACAGTATTTGCACTTTTGGACAATCATGTGACATCGATGGAAAAACAAAACTGCTTTCAGCTCCACATACACACACACACACACATCCACGCTTACATGCACACACACACGCACACACGCACACATCCACGCTTACATGCACACACACACACACGCACACATCCACGCTTACATGCACACACACACACCCACACATACACACCCAGCTACACATGCACGCACACACACAGACACACATACGCACCCACGCACACACCCAGCTACACATGCACACACACACACACACAAAATAATAATAATGGTACGTCAAACATACATAGCACTTTTTTAGACACTCAAAGACGCTTTACAAAAAAATATTAAATACAGGTTTTGAGAAGTGATTTAAAGTTCTGTAGCGAGTGAGTGAGACCCTGAGATAACCGCATTATCGTCAAGGACCACTCTTCTGATATTCTTGAACATTTGTATATTTTTTCTTGCATTATAGCGAGGGAAAGTCAACAAACCAAAAAAAAAGAGCATTCGCCGCGATTCGTTGTTCAAACTGTGGCGCAGGGTTTGACAGAAAAACTTGGACACACAAAGAAAACAGAAAAGCTGATTATCTCCGGCTGCTTTATTCCAAGAGGAAGCAAAGATCCCCTCGATCCGAGCCCACGTCAGCGAAAACACAACTGCTACCATTCTTTAATCTCGTGCAGGGATGTGGTTAAAGGAGATGGCGGTTTTCTTCAGAGTATAATGCCGTACTCAGCAGCTGCTCCCATATTTAGTTTAACAAGAGAAACGGGAAGAAGAGCGAGGTCAAAGAGGGAAAATAAACAGATAAAACACGCAAAGAACAAGCAAATTAGGAATGAAGGAAGGCAGTAGACTGGACGGGGCTTTGTTTACAAGCAAAAGGATTTTATAGTTACACCTGGACTGGGAGCAAGGAAAAGATATTATCGTAAAAAGTGGTTCCTGGTTTAAGCACAGCCTCAGTCCTCGATCTACAGCCTCAGTCTTGGTTCTACAGCCTCAGTCTTGGTTCTACAGCCTCAGTCCTAGATCTTCAACCTTAATCCTGGATCTACAGCCTCAGTCCTGGGTCTACAGCCTCAGTCCTGGATCTACAGCCTCAGTCCTGGATCTACAGCCTCAGTCCTGGATCTGCAGCCTCAGTCCTGGATCTACAGCCTCAGTCCTGGGTCTGCAGCCTCAGTCCTGGATCTGCAGCCTCAGTCCTGGATCTGCAGCCTCAGTCCTGGATCTACAGCCTCAGTCCTGGGTCTACAGCCTCAGTCCTGGATCTACAGCCTCAGTCCTGGATCTACAGCCTGAGTCCTGGATCTACAGTCTCAGTCCTGGGTCTACACCCTCAGTCCTGGATCTGCAATCTCAGTCCTGGGTCTACAGTCTCAGTCCTGGATCTACAGCCTCAGTCCTGGATCTACAGCCTGAGTCCTGGATCTACAGCCTCAGTCCTGGGTCTACAGCCTCAGTCCTGGATCTACAGCCTCAGTCCTGGATCTACAGCCTGAGTCCTGGATCTACAGTCTCAGTCCTGGGTCTACACCCTCAGTCCTGGATCTGCAATCTCAGTCCTGGGTCTACAGTCTCAGTCCTGGATCTACAGCCTCAGTCCTGGATCTACAGCCTCAGTCCTGGGTCTACAGCCTCAGTCCTGGATCTGCAGCCTCAGTCCTTGATCTACAGCCTCAGTCCTGGATCTACAGCCTCAGTCCTTGATCTGCAGCCTCAGTCCTGGATCTGCAGCCTCAGTCCTGGATCTACAGCCTGAGTCCTGGATCTACAGCCTTTTTCCACTGGGTTTTTGAGTCGTTCCTCGTTGATGGAGGAGGGTCTAAGGACAGTGAAGATCCGGGACGTGCTTTTTATGGTTCTTTTGAAATCTCTTGACATCTAACTTGTCTTTCAACAACCATTTTAACGAAAGACAAAATTAACCTTTTTGAATCAAAAACCTGGGACATTTTTTTGCATTTATGGACAGTGGTCATCTCGCTCCCAAAAAACCGATGACTAGTATGTGTAATTATTTCATTTCTATGTTCAGGCAGTTTGATTCTCTGATCTGTGTTGGCAAATCATCAATTCTGTGAAGTAAGTAAAATGTATTGAATTGTAATGAATCGCAGTTTAAGTTCGAAAACTAACCCACTATAGGTAAAATCCTTGACGTGGAAAGGTGGCTGTACTGTAAGAAGGGCCGGGGTTCAATTCCACCTTGAGGACTTTCTGTGCTGAGTCTGCACAGGTTTCCTCCAGGTGCTCCGGTTTCCCCTACCGCTAAAAACATCTACAATAGGTATGAATGTAATGGAGTGAGTGAACGCATGGTGTTGGTCGAGGGCTTTGATGCCCTCGACCAGAATGGAAAGAAATCTGAACTCCCAAAAACATAAGCTTTGGATAACATTGGTCTGTAAAATGCGCTATCTGAATAAACATTACTTTAGTAGTAGTTTATTTCTTTGGCCAGTAAGCACCTTAGATCTCATTAAGTCAAGTTTTTTCAAATATTTTATATACATTTTACAATAAAACGACAAAAGACAAACAAAAATGTTTCTATTAAGAATTTTAGTGCTAAATCATGCCGGACCGAAAAGGGTTTAGGCTGAAGTGTAGATTTATTCTGCCTAACCCTTATTACAACTGTGACAATACGACCAAATATGACACATGATAGTTTCTCATACACCAAGAATGTTAATGTGTAGCACAAAACTTAAACTTCGACAATCAAAATTATATTATACACAATATACAGTTTCTCATATACCAACAATTTTAACATGTAGCACAAAACTTAGACATCCATAATCAGAGTTATTAAGCATAATCCAATTCATGTTTTCTTTATGTGTTACTTACTACACGTTGGTTATGCGTGGGGCGACCCGAATAATCTTGGTCAACCCACGGGTCCCGCGGTTTCGGGCGGGTTGGATGCCTCAGAAATATGCGTCGGGTGCGGGTGGGCCGGGTCAAAAAGCTCCTGATCGGCCTATACATAATATGTGAGCCACGGTGTGGGAGTCCCGAATACCTTGAGTACATTTGCAATCTCGCAGGAAGGCTGTTAAACGAAGAAATCATCGTGACAAACACCCGTAAGATTGCCACCTTCCTGACTCCCCGCTTTAAAGGCCTCAAAATGCTCCAGCCCGATGAAAGACGTGTAATCCACCCAGAGGCGTAGGCTGATGACGGTGTGGGCCTCACAGCAGAGGCCTTCTAAAGCAGGTGCATAATTACCAAGGGCTACAGGTGTTACGCGGGCTACAGGTGTTACATGGGCTACAGGTGTTACGCGGGCTACATGTGTTACGCGGGCTACAGGTGTTACGCGGGCTACAGGTGTTACGCGGGCTACAGGTGTTACATGGGCTACAGGTGTTACGCGGGCTACATGTGTTACGCGGGCTACAGGTGCTACATGTGCTACAGGTGTTACGCGGGCTACAGGTGTTACGCGGGCTACATGAGTTACGCGGGCTACATGTGTTACGCGGGCTACAGGTGTTACGCGGGCTACAGGTGTTACGCGGGCTACAGGTGTTACGCGGGCTACATGAGTTACGCGGGCTACATGTGTTACGCGGGCTACAGGTGTTACGCGGGCTACAGGTGTTACGCGGGCTACAGGTGTTACGCGGGCTACATGAGTTACGCGGGCTACATGTGTTACGCGGGCTACAGGTGTTACGCGGGCTACAGGTGTTACGCGGGCTACAGGCTACAGGTGTTACGCGGGCTCAGCCTATATTTATATGGTGTGTGTATCGTCTCAAAATAGATTGAGTGAATATTGCCTTTTCCTCATTATTTAGTGGTTTGCGGAGGAGATGGAGAGCAGCGAGAGAAGTTTGGCAGGGGAGGAGCAGTGTGGAGTTATAAAATAAATAGTTTACAGTTTGCTAAATTATTTGAAAGCATCTTCATTATGATTATTATATTTATGTATTTATTATAAATGTTAGGGATATCAGAGAAAAGGCGTCGGCTTTTTGCAGAGTGGGAAGACACGAAGAGGAGCTGTTTGAGGCAGATGATGACGTTCAGCGTTATATTACCAATAGTTTCTCTTGCCATAACAATATTCTCTCTTTTGGAAAAGATCAAATACGTGATATATGTGATTGTAAAAAAATCTGACCCGCATCACTACTACACGTTTTTAAACTATATATAATACAATATTATAAAACCCATCACCTCACACTTTACACACTTTTCTATCCTCCTGAACTCACGACGTCTGAAGTGCGAACGCAGAGACATCAAACCCTTCGGTTGTAGGCCAGAGTGCTGCTGCAGCTGTCAAAAGCCATGCGCACACTGTAAAAAAAGAAAAAAAAGAAAGTACAGCTGAGGGGCAGGAGCAGGACTGAGGGCTTCGAGAAAGACGGCGGTAGTCCTCTGAACTCCTGAAAATTAGCCCGTTTGATCCAGCAGTGTAGTCGAGAAGCTACTTTATTTTTAACCGGATGTTCAGGACGAGCGTGGGCGCCGTCGGAGCCGCCTCCAGCTCGTGGCGCTGAAGTTCAAAGGCTCCACGGGGCCAAACGGGAGAAGATCTTTACTCTGCGTTTAACAGGATTAAACCACAGAGAGGAAATCAGCACTTGAAAAAAAATGTTTAGCGAAGCCATTTAGAGATGAGATATGGCTTTGGAGTCAGCGGGGCCGGTTTTTAATAGCAAATGAAGTTTCGGCGAGAATCAAAGCCAAATGGAAAGATTGAGAGACATATTTTTATGTGTTCGTTTTCGTAGTAGAGTGAGTCAGAAGTAAAGTGTGTCCTTCAGCTTGTTTCTGGACATCAAATAACAACAAATATTCTTATTTTTATATCATTAGCTTTCCAATCAGCACCGATATTCACCATGTGTATTATACCTGCTATGGTTTGTTTCTTGCCCTTTTTATCTTGTTTTATTTGTGTAATTATCTGGTGTTATTGGGTCACTTTTGCACATGTATTCCAGTGTGTTTTTTTGAAAATGACTAATAAAATGGATCAAATCAGTCTAATAAAGACGATTTTTTTGTACTATTATTATTCCACTGAGCAATAGTCATAGTTATAGAGGGTAAGGGTTGATTCATTTTGAGTTGAATAATATATGGATATTATTATAAGTACAGTAAGCAGCCACTCGTAGCTTGTATGTGGATGGACAATGCTAACCCTCTTGCTCTATGAAGCCCAAAATGGAAGTGCTCATGAACAAAGTTATGCTCCAACTCGATCTGAAATTGGTTTTAAATACGTATTATGTGTGTGTAAAAGAGAGCTTCTATTTCTTTCAATACATGGCAAATATGATATTTTACAGAGAAAAATCAAAATAAAATGTGTTGATAAATATTGTCATCTTTGTATCATACATAGTCATGTCTGTATGATACAGTATGTCTCTGTTGCCTGCCAAAGGACTGCGGTTGAAAATAATCCGGTTTATAGATATTTGTTCATTAATGGGCATTTTCCCTGTCAAATAAATATACAAATTCATACATAAATTGGTAATGGCTGAGAAAAATCCTTAAAAACCACTATGGTGTTTGGATTTTCTTTATATGGGCATTTCTTCAGACGCAGACTTGTTGCCAGGACGGTTGCTAAGGCAAGCTGGAGTTTCAACTGCGAACGTACCGTAGATCTCTGATTGGTCAACCCATATATGGTTTGTATCTGGATTTACAAAGACAGCATCAAAATATGACCAGAGAGTTTTATTCAAAAAGTGGAGAGGACGGTTCTTTCCTAAAATCTTTGGGAAAATCCTCTTACATACTTTTAAGTCCATTTAGTATATACAGGCTGTGTTTTTTCCCCCATTAACCGATAAAACTGAAAGCGTTAAAATGACCTAGATCTAGTATCATCGGTGAATTAAAACCTTTTTTTCTAGTTTCAAGTCGTGAAAGTGAACGATTGGATCAAATTATTGAAATGAAAACTATAAAGCCCCCTCTGGTCAAACCTCCCAGAGATAAACGCAAACGTCTCTCCAAATATCTGTATAATTAGCCCCTTCTCGGTTCTGCCTCATAATCCGTCCGGGCTAAACCTGCTATATAAGGAAGCCTGTGTTTTTGCCACACTTTATCTATCATTTTCCACGCTTACAAATCTTGCAAATTGGACCAGCGTCGCAAATTTACATGTAAAATACCTCGGCGTTATCGCAGCTGGAGTTCCTTAATCTCTTGCTATGCCGAAGAGTGAAATAAGCCTTATGGTAAATGCATGGTACCAATCCCCCTTTACCTCCTACACGCCAACATACAGTCTTCTCCGCACCCCGGGAAACAGAAGCATCTAATCTACTTCATGCTAAAATCAAACATTGCATGTGAAAAAGCTCCCAAATGTATCTGCGTTTTTGTAAATGTACAGAAAGTGCGGGGAACAGGTGCGGGGCGGTGTACTTCGGGTTCTTTGGTGGGATCAGTTCGCCTCTTGCCCTTGTGCTCTGTGGGAATGGGTTTTGTTAAAAGATCCACGGAATAGCTTTCCCACAATCTCCGTGCAAGGATGGTAAACCGCGGCCGTGTGTTGGGAATAGACCAAGCTGGAGGAAGCAGAGAGATGTGGAAGAAGTATGTTTGGTTTGCTTGGATTTTTTAAATGTAATCTTTATTCAACCAGGAAAGTCGCATTGAGAAAGAACCTCTTTTTTCAAGGGAGTCCCTGAGATGGGGAGTGAAGCTCAGACAGACGGTGGGAGCTCGGAGTAGAGCCGCTGCTTCTTCAAATTGCGATTAAGAACCTCTTTTTTCAAGGGAGTCCCTGAGATGGGGAGTGGAGCTCAGACAGACGTTGGGAGCTCGGAGTAGAGCCGCTGCTTCTTCACATTGAGATTAAGAACCTCTTTTTCAAGGGAGTCCTGGTTAAGAGGCAGCAAAAGTTACACACAATTGCAGATGATAAAACGTTTCACACAATTAAATCTGGAATAATAATAACTCTTTATTTAATTTTAGCATTTTTTTTTTAATAGTAATCCTTATTTGAAAAAAAATAAAGCCAGGAAGTGACAGGAAGTGAAAAAATTCAATCAATGAATAAAAACCATTACATTTCTATGGTCACAGCCAGGGGGGCTGTGAGTCTAGTTATGTCGAGTTATGAGGGACATTTTCAAATAAGATTCATACAGGTAAGGAAAAAAGAAAGTAGGGAGGGGGGATTCTAATCTGGTTTGATGCATTGTGGGGTGTGTGTGTGTGTGTGTGTCACTATTATTGCTGGAGATTGCCACAAAGGTCTTAGGAAGTTTAGTTATTGTCATGGGGTGAGGTGAACGAAGGACCCAAAATGCAATAAATGAGGATTCAATGATAATACAATAATAGTCCAGGGAAAAACGGAGACCAAAATTCAGAACAAAGCACAGGAACCAGGATAACGAACGGACAGAGACGATACAATGGACCAGCAACAAGGGGAGAGGAGCACAGGTACACATATACCGTTTTTCCACAGTCCTAGCACGGTACGTTTTGACTCTACACGGCACGCCATGGCCCAGTTCGCGTGTTTTTCCATCAAAAATAGTACCCCCAGTATGTCCTCAGCGTTGTCAGACCACGTCATTTACGTCTGACGCGTAACTAGTACTGGTGCGGTGCATGGATTTATTATAATATCAGAGCAAGTGTTTAATAGAAAATTCAGCACAGCACGAGTAGTTTTTGAAAATGCTTATGTCTTAAAATAATGACCCAGACACTGTGAAGTCAATGGTGCTGACTGCTCTGTACAATCTGAATGGGACATACCTGTAGCAACAGCAGCCTGTGTAGCAGAGGAGGAGGGCTGCATGTCCGAGGAAACGGCTAGGCTAAAGCTAATGCTAGCGCTAGCTCGAGACTCAGCTCACTCACTAACCCTGGATTCCAAAGCTACTACAATACTACACTTAACACATCTATCACTGCCATCAGAGGAGGATCCAGGGTTTAAACTCGTCATATGGCAACTTGAGCAGTAAAGGACCGAGGGAGAGACAGCGGCAGCCATAGGGGTAGCGAGTTAGCGGCTACGCTAGGCTAGTCCAGACTCGGGTCCGGACTACAGCAGACTCCGAGACCAGACAAACAATCGATACCCAAACCTCAGATACAATAATAATAAATGAATGAAACACAGTCTTGGGATACAATCATAGATTTATTGAAAACAAAAGTAAAGTGCAAAACCAACAGTTTACATAGTCAAAAGTACGTATGTCAGAGACCAGGTCCAGACCAGGTCCAGACCAGGTCCAGATGAGAATACTCCGGTCACTCATTACTCGATGGTAATCTCCACACTTATGGGAAGGGATTATCATTCAAATATACACACGACAATTTAAATACAAGCACAAAACAGAATGACAACACGTGGAACACAGTAGCACAGGGAGGACGTTAGCTTAGCTGCTATCGATAGCTAAATGAAGCTAATTGTAGCTAGCTCACTGTGTACAACAGACAATCGAGCATTTACACAGTAAATACATTTCAGTGAGAGCTTTAGGGGGTTTGTAGCTAACCAGTTATTTCCAGGATTACCACAGACTAGTCACAAATCCAGAGTGATCTCCTGAAAACTGTGTTGAGCCTCGAGCTGCCTTTGAATTCTTTCTTTGGCCTGAAGAGAGGAACGTGTGGACCTCGTCCACCGACCAGGACCAGGACTTTTGGGGCTTTCTGTGCAATTCCATTTGTCTGGAGTGAGGAGGACGTAATGTAGCCGAAGCAGAGCCGAGCAGAGCAGCCGGTTTTAAAGATGGCGGTTGAGTTGTTTTTCCCAAAGGGTCAGAGGTCGCTTCCAGTGACGACACTCCGTGACGTCATGGCACGGGTAACATGGGGATGGAACCACGGCTGAGGCAGTACGGAAAAGTACTCAAATCTCCCATACCATCCACTAGTGGAAACGCAAAATAACAGTGCTGAAGCGTACTGTACTGTACCGTACTGATACTGTGGAAAAGCGGAAATAGACACACAGGTGAAACACTGAGGGCGGGGCAGACCATCAACACCAGGGAACAAGACAGGAAGTGAAACTGAAAATGAAACCACAGAGAGCTAAAGTCAAAATAAAACCAAGTACAAAAGAAAATGTCCACACGATAAATTAATAAATAATAATAGTCCACACCATGACAGTTATTGTAGAATTGTTTCTGAGGATCGGGCGTCACCATAGCGATAGCCTTGAACATAAGCTAGCTGGAGCCAATTGCCTTATATGGGCGGCACAGTGGCTGAGTGGATAGCACTCTCGCCTCTCAGCAAGAAGGTCCTGGGTTCGAATCCCGGCCGGACCAGGGCCTTTCTGAGTGGAGTTTGCATGTTCTCCCTGTGTCTGCGTAGGTTTCCTCCGGGTACTCCGGTTTCCCCTACCACTAAAAATATGTACAATAGGTCTGGCATGCGCCTCCTGTTCGGCGACCCCGCTCCCATCTCTGTGTGGAGTGAGAGGACAAGTGCCCAAAAAATAACAATTGTAAACCGCTTTGTGACTCTGGTCTGTGAAAGGCGGTATATAAATAAAAGCTTACTTACTTACTTATATGGGCTTTTGTTTCA